TAATGGTCATAGATGGAGCTCTTGGCTAGTTAGTCCCAATAATATACTAGTAATATAAGGTTAAAATTTCTGCCAACTTAGCAGTTTGAGAGCATGCTAATGCATGTAGATAAATAGGTACCACTTCAGTAGGAAGGTAACAGTGTTCTCTGCTGTTGTGTTGACCATATGACTACAGAGTTGTCTTACGCTGGCTCTTCAGCTTAGTAATAGAGATGAGCACTGCCCCCTACAGTCAGTCACGGTTAGACATTCATGTAAGGGGAAACCTTTACCTTTTTAAGGTTAAAAAGAGGGAACTTTTCATCTTTTCTTTGACTTTTCCCATCTATTTCTTTAAAAAAGTAATTGTTGCTGATTAAATCCCATATCGACAACTGCACAAAAACCTATTGCACAGTTTTCCCAACTTCATAAAATGCATCTAACAGCATATTAGAATAATGCCTAGGTCACAGCTAGAGTACAGGCTTAAACATGGTAATTTATTCCTTCTGGAGATGAAAGCTAAGAAAATAAGCAGAGTCTGCCTTAATAGAGCTTGGAAAAATTACTTATTTTACCCCTACCTATTTTCTGAAGGATAGCCATGTTAGTATGTTCCAAAAAAGCAACCAAGGATCTTATAGCAACTTTAATAGGTTTATTTTAGCATGCGCTTTCTTGTATTTCAATCTGCAAAAGCTCATGTTAAAATAAAAATTACCATTAAAGGTACCACATGACTTTGGAAGGGGGAACTACTACCTCCTAGAAGATTCCCATGGCCACTATTAGCCTTACTGGTTGACAGATTCTAGTAGATATATTTTAAAAGGGACATTATCAATCAATAATTCCAGAACCTGATTAAGGCTTCAGTGATCCCAGCCTCTTCTTTCTGGCAATGGAAAATCAGATGATTCCTGGAACTTCACAAGCAGAGCAGGATGGTAGCAATTTTCTTCCACCTCCACCCCCCATGAAGTTGGGTACAAAATCTGCAGCTGTTAAAAACTGTGCATTTGGCAAGATGATAGTTGTGCAGTTGTGGGGAGGAGGAAACCTGTTATAAACTTGAGACTGGGGACTAGAATGGAAATTTATAGTAGCATAAGAATGAGATAACCTTTATATATATAACCTATATATATATATATATATATATATATATATATATATATATATAAAACCTGTGGAACAAAACCCATTTTATGTGATTATTATTTGTTGAAATCGTTTTAAATTGTGATGGTTTAATAATTTTTTAAGGGGGGAGGAGGGAAATTGTTGATTTTATACTGTATGGGATTTTATCTTGTTCACCGCCCGGATTGGTCCGCCACAGGGCGGTATATAAATAAATTATTATTATATATTATTATTATTATAAAAGCTGTAAATGCATTCCAAAGTTATTGTTAATTTAGGGAGAAATAAACTCTGAGAGGTACCAGTTTTGGGCAGTATAGGTCTGAAGAGGTAGGAGGAATATAGATAACTTTTGTTACTGAACTAAGACAGATTTATGAATAAATGCTTAGTGTCTAATAAATAAGAACTATTGACTCCAGTGAAGAAACTGCTATTGATATATGTTATGAACAAAGCAAACACATTTTGCATTCAGAATTTTGTTGTGTGGAAGATGGATGAGTGTCTAAAATGGCATTTTATAAAGCTGGATAATTTACTGAAAAGGAAACCCAATCTGCAAGCAACCATAGGTACTCCCAGATGTGATTTTTAATATGCAGTTGTTCCACTCATTTACTCAGTTTGAGCTGTGTGAATGTCCAGACATCATAATCTTGTTTGGCAATCCTTTGGATTTTCCCACCCCATTTTTCTTTGTCTTTCCATCAAATATTCTGCTAAGTAAGAAAAGACAGGGTAGTTGCACATTGACATTTGATTGGTAGCATTGGTTCTGAGAGAATATATCAAAGTGTCATTAAGCTATCATGGCTAATGTTATGTTATTGGCTGTCCTATACTCCAGGAATTGGTTTTCCTTTTATAGTTGTCTAAGCTACTGCCTATCACCATACCTTGTGGCAGTAAATTCCATAGGTTAACTGTGTATTGTTAGAAGATACACATCCTTTTCTTTGTTCTGACCCTTCTGCCAATCAATCTAGATAGGTGGTGACCCCAATTTTGTGTGTTATGAGAGAAGGAGCACATTTTCTCTCTTTCCATACACAATTTTAGAAGTTCCTCTTTTGTTCTCCTTTAGTTGCCTTTTCCCATAAACTTTTTTTTAAAAAAGGCATTCATTTTCTAGAGAGGGAAAGTGTCCCAATCCTCCCCCCTCCTTAATGGCTATGCTTTTTCACAACCTCTCCAGCTCTCCAGTATCCTTTCTGAGATGGGTCTGTTTTTGTTTGTTCAAAACTATTTTGATCACAATTTCCACATTCCAAATGTTGCAATATCATAGATTTGTGTAAAAGTGATACAGTACTTCAGTTACATCTATTTACTAATCATCCTTGGATTGGAATTTACATTTTTCACAACCATCATCATAACCATCCATTGATGTTTGCACTGAGCACCACAGTGCCATGATCCCTTTTCAGGATAGTTACCACCACTTCAAATTCCTTTAGCATTAATGTGAAGATGGGTTTTTACTTGTTTTTTGTTTTTTGCTTTGCCTCATTGAGACATGCTATCTGTATAACTATATACATTGAACTTGCCACTGTGAGTGGAGAGGGATATTTTTGGGGATGGTGGTGAGAGAATTTTAGAGCTGCAAAGGACTTCAAGGATCATATACTCCAATTCCCAATGAAGAAAGTACACAACTAAAGCAACACTGACAGATAGCCATCCAACCTCTTCGGACAGGACATATGAGTTGGGAAGTTCTGGTATTTGTTGCAGTAGTTCTTGGGGTTTTTTATTTTTATTTTTTCTTAGCATTACATTAACTTAGTGCATCAGTAAGGCATCACAGTGGCAAGTTCAATGTATATAACGGTATATAGATAGTGTGTCTCAATGAAACAGTAGGATCGCTTCAGCAAACCATGCCCCCGTTTTTTAGAAACTTTTGGAAGAGCCCAGTGCAGACCCAGGTGGCTGTTGTTAACTGCCCTTGAGTCGATCTTGACTCATGGCGACCCTATGAGACGTCTCCAAGACCCTCTGCCCTCCACTGGCTCTGCTTAATTCCTGCAACTCCTTAATACCCGTGGCCTCCTTAATAGAGTCCATCCATCTGGCATGTGGCCTTCCTCTCTTCCTACTTCCCTCCACCTTTCCCAGCATTATTTTTTCCCCAAAGTCCTCTCTTCTCATGATGTGTCCAAAGTACAAAAGCCTCAGTTTGGTCATCTTGGCTTCTAGGGAGTTTCTGATTTGATCTGCTCTAGGACCAACTTGTTTGTCCCTTTGGCTGTCCATGGGATCCTCAGCACTCTTCTTCAGCACCACATTATCTCAAATGCATTGATTTTCTTCCTATCATCTTTCTTAACTGTCCAGCTCTCACATCCATACATGGTAATAGGGAATACAATGGCTTGTATGATTCTAACGTTTGTGCTGAGTTGTATCTCTTTGCATTTTAGAATCTTTTCTACTTCTTTCATAGCCACCCTCCCCATTCTTAGTCTTCTTCTGATTTCCTGACTGCAGTCCCCATTTCTATCAATTTTTGATTCCAGGTATGGGAATTCTTTTACTATTTCTATTTCTTCATTATCTAGGTTGAACTTGCGAAGGTCCTTGGTGGTCATTATTTTTGTTTTCTTTGTGTTCACCCTTAAGCCTGCCTTTGCACTTTCTTCTTTGGTATTCCTTAGTAGGTGTTCCAGGTCTGTGAGGTTTTCTGCTAGTATTATGGTGTCATAGTACATAATGGCAAAAACCCCAGTGCATTGCTACAAACAGCTCCCCAAAGGAATGAGTGGATGTGAAGGCAACAACAATCAACAAAACTCTGTCTGGAAGAGAGGTCAGTTTGATTCCTGTTTCTGTCTTCTGAAATATTAGCTACCTTTTCTGGTTTGTTCTCCAATGTGAATTTGCTGAGTATCCTCTCCACTTCTTCATCCAAGTTGTGAATGATACTGACCCAGGACAGAAATCTATGGCACTCCACTTGTCACAGGCTGCTTTGAGCTCATCAGAGAGAAATGCTGGACATAAATCTAAATAAAAGGCAATAGCTACTGTGCAAGGATGACTGGTTTTCCCCCCTTTAATCTGTATCTAATAAATTAGTGGTACAAAGTATAAATGCTGTGTTTTGGGCTATTTGCTAGATGCACATATCTGTTTAAAACAGGTGTTTGCACAATGGGGAGATTTACTCCTTTGCTATGAAAATGAACAAAGGTGCTAATTAAGTAGGCCAAATAGCTCTACAGAACTCCATTGTTGAGTTATTTTGCAATTAAATTGTAATCTTCTGTCTTCAAACAAGAAAGGACAAATTGTTCTGTCAGGCCATACACAAGAAGTACACAGGTAATGCATGTTCTTTAATGTGTGTGTGTTTGTGGGAAATCAATGCATGTTAACAAGCACAGATGAAAGTCAAGTGGATGCTGAGGTGGCCATGCTGTGCAGCGGTGCTTTTCTTTCTCTCACACAAGGTGATCTTTGAAGAGATCACTGACTTTAAAGTTTTCTGCATTTTCAATCTGGCAGTGTAACACACCACTAGGATATGGAGACCAAAACAAAAGTAGACTCACTGAATTAATTACTGAATGGTACTAAATAAACAATCCCACTGATTGAAGAGATCTGCTCTAGTTGAGTCTCCTAATAAGATTCAGGCTAAAGCATGTTCCAGTAACATTCAGCATGTTTGTGCTGCAGTGATGGGCTGTGCCAGAACAGGGCATATTGTTTGGTGTCTTCAAGTTGTAGCCAGCTTATGGAAATCCCAAGGACTTATGGACCCTATCATGGGGTTTTCTTGGCAAGCTTTCTTCAAAGGGAAGTTTGCCTTTGCCTTCTTCTGAATCTGAGTGAGTGTGACTTGTCCAAGGTCACCATGCCCAAGCAGGGATTCGACCCCTGGTATTCAGAATTTCAGTCCAATGTTCAAACAACTACACTACACCAACTCTCCTATGCCCTGAATCAGAGCATTGTTGCTGCTATTATATATTGTTAACTCAGCTTTGACTTATGGAAACCCTACAAATGAGAGACATTCATAAGCCTTGGTCATCATTGCTCCTGCTCAGAGTTATGGCTTCCTTTACCGAGTCAACACAATTTTAGTGTGGCCTTCTTTTTCCACATTACTAAAGCATTATCATGTTTTCCTATGGATCCTATTGTCTCATGATAGTCAAAGCAGAATAACCTCACTTTATTCATTTTGGCTGCTAGTGAGATCTTAGATTTGTTCTCAGACCCATTTATTTGTCTTTTCAGAAATTCATGGTATCCACAGAACTCCCCTTTAGTACAATGGAAATTATCACATAACACTGTTACACTGCAATTAATGTATCTTTACCTGAGTTTATCACATGGTGCCATAATTTCCTCTGTGCTGTACCATGCTGTATCATTTGTAAATAAATTCTTTTGTAAATAAATTCTTTTTCCACTTGAAATAATCTGTTAATGACTCCCTATTCCACTATGGTTTAGTAACAGCTTTGAGTATGAATGTCATGTTCTGCTTCATTGGCTATTGGGAGCATAGTGGGTGTGATGTGGATGTGGTTTTATTGCTCTTTGGATTTCCTGGGGATCTCCAGCAGAGAAACCCCAGACTACTTTCAGTGGTTGGGTTGGCAGGGATTCCCAGGAGTTCCCAAGAGACCTTTTGACTATTTACTGTCCACACACCAGCATGTTTCTGTAAATTATCTTAATTTTTTAGTTTTTTTTTATTTCAGTTTTTTAGAAGTGAAACAAGAGACAGCAGCCATAATATAGTAACTCCCAAATTGGCATTCACATGGGCTGGATTATAACTCCCAATCATCCCCAGTCAGCATCAATGGCTACTGGCTGGGGATGCTGGGAACTGCAACCCAGCACATCTGGAGGCACCAGACTGGGGAAAGCTAATATAAGATGACTATTAAATATAAGTGCAGCAGTAGAGTGAAGGTAAGTAGAAGATAACTCTAATAATGTGACATAGATAGAAGTTGTGAGTTGGATTTACTCTGGAGAATGGTGGTGATGATGGGCATCACTAGCGGATGACGCAGTAAATAGAAATACCCATCTACAGAGACAGAATCTGCTCTAGTTCTAACTAAAATCTGTCAATAGATATGAAAAACAAAGCTATGGCCCACAGACTAAACATGAAGAAAACAAAAATACTAACCATGCATGATTTACATAACTTCAATGCAGATGATAAAGAAATTATAACAGTTAAAGATTTTTCATATGTTGTAATCAAGAAGAAGACTTGTAAGGGCAATTATGAAAGAACTAGATAAGCTCTTGACATGCAAAGATAGTTCAATGAATACTAAAGTTAGGATTGTACATGACATCTTATTTCCCACCACTATGTATGGGTATGAGAGCTGGATAGTGAAGAAAGCTGATAGGAAGAAAATCAATTCATTTGAGATGTGGTGCTGGAGAAGAATGCTGAGGATCCCATGGACTGCTAAAAAGACAAATAAATGGGTCCTAGAACAAATCAAGCATGAACTCTCCCTAGAAGCCAAAACAACTAAATCAAGTCTATCATACTTTGGCCATATCGTGAGAAGGCTTAATAGAAAAGATGATAATACTAGGTAATGTAGAAGGCAGCAGAAAAAGAAGAAGACAACATTACAGGTTGGTAGACTCAAGTCTGCTAGACCTGAACAGAGCTATTGGGGATAGAGAGTCCTGGAGATGTCTCATTCTTAGAGTCGAAGTAATTCAAAGTTGACTTGAAGGCAGTTAACACATACACAACAGCAGACACCAGAGTGCGTGCAGTTTTGCTGCATCTTGAAATAATGTCCCAAATGGGACCTTTTGTATTTCTTCTGGGTTGAAATGTATGGCTGTTCCCTGAGTTGGAAACATGTGTATTTGCCTGTCAGATTGATATTTCTACTCTCTTTTAGCACATTATTAAAGGTAAGTAAAATAAAATAAAATAAAAATTAAATTGCAACAGCAAACACCTATTTCAATAGAAACATGTGTGCACCACCTCAGTTTTTGAAGTTGTTACTCTGGCAATAATTTTTGACAGCTAAACTATGAGTTTGTTCCACAAAGGTACACTTACGATAGAAGCAGTTACACCCCTACAAATATAAGAAGCATTATTTTCTTTTTTTAAAAAAATGGGAGCTTAATAATAGTCTTTCAAATTTATATAGAAAAACACTTAATAATTCAGAAGCTGTCAGGCTTCTGGAAAAGATTGTGGGTGTTTTCTCAATTTGGTTGAAATTCAAGCATTTCTTGATGTATTCTTACAAATATATCTTTAAAAAGATAGGAAATGATAACAGATAGAGTTGGGTGTTAGCCCACAAGTCACACTTAACTTCAAAACTCTGGATGACTGTTCCCAGTGGTTTCATGTAGATGTTAAATAGCATGAGGGACAAAACTGAGACCTGAGGAACTCCACAGGCCAGCGGCCAGGGTGGAGAGCACAGATCCTCCAGAACTACCTTCTGAGTTCTCCTGTCCAAGAAGGACTGAAGAGCCCTATCATTAGTTTGTGTGCCCTCAGGTTCCATCTCAGAGAAGCATCCCAGAGAGATACTATGATTGTTGGTATCAAAAGCCGCTGAGAAGTCCAGCAAAACCATCAGGGGAACACACACCCTGCCCAATTCCCTGTGTAGTTCATCCATCAAGGTGACCAAAGCTTTCTTAGTCCCACTGAAACAGGTGTGGTCCTCCACCCCTATCTCTTTAGAATGAAGGACTGAAGGTCCTTGCCATTTGTCAGCAAATCTGGATTCTGTCTGGGGACCCATTATCATCCTCCAACCACCTAGGTGCCCAATTCATGGTGGTGGTTAAAAGCAAACAGGTAGAGTTAACATCAGCATTCTGTTTAAGCATTTTTGTGTTTCAGAATCTCAGCATATTTGTAAGGGATAATGAGCAGGCTCTTTGGTAATTTTTTAAGGTTATTCATTATATGCAATCATAAACATACAAACATATAAATTCCCCTTATGGAGAAACACAGCCATATAAATGTTTGGGTGCTTTATTTCATCATGTTACATTACACTGAATGTAAGGCATCATATCTTATTACACTACATCATAGAGCCATTAGGATAGTGCGCTTTCATAAGGACTGAACCTTTATCTCTCTGCATCTCTTTAACAGGCATTTCTATATGGATCACTAGGGTCTCATCTGCACTGCAGAATTAATGCAGTTTGACACTGCTTTAACTGCCATGGCTCAATGCTATGGAATTCTGGGGTTTGTAGTTTGGTGAGAGAGACAGCTTTCTGTCAGAGATCTCTGGTGCTGTCAGGAACACATTAGTTTAATGCTTTCCTGCCAGAATTTGTTTTGATTGATTTTGATTAGAAATGAGATTGATAATATATAGTTGACTATTGACTATAATGGTTAAAACTGTGAGGCTGTGCTGTAAGGGTTAATGAGTTTTAAAAGAGCTAAAAAAGGGTGGGAACTACGGTAAAAGGCTTCTTTGGTGTGTGTGTGTGGGATGTTCCTACCTTGGCTGAAGCTAGAGGCTTGAGTTTAAAAATATGGTTAAAGAGATAATGAGAATGGTTTTGAAAGTGCTTTATGTATAAATAGATTGTTTGCTGGTTTTAATAAGTGATGGTTTTAGACTGTTATATATTCAGTTGTTAAATATGTTAGACACACATATATGATTTTGATAAATACATGATCCCAGTCCCAGGTGATATATCACATAAGCAGAGTGCAGATGTTACTTCAAGGTTGTTTTGTCTCTTGTCAGTGGGAAGCTACAGATGCACACGCATCATGCCAATTGCCGGACTTACCGGACAGTAGAACATTAATTACATCATGTTAATGGCCAAAGGATGGGAATTTTTGACCAGTTACTGAGTTACACCAGCCTAGGAGGAGGGACATTGCTATGTTCTATAAAAGTGTTTCAATACGCTTTAACTTCAGACTTGTCAAAGAAGTCATGGAGCTGTCTGCTGTGTTTTCTTTACTGCAATAAAAGCTGTCCTTTTGACTTTAAGTCTTGGATCTGTGTTTATGATCTGAAAGAAGACTTGTGGGCATGCTGTACCTGACAAGTGCCCCACCAAACTACAAATCCCAGGATTTCATCATATGGAGCCATATCAGTTAAAGTGATGTCAAACTGCATTAATTCTGAAGTGCAGATGAGGCCATAGAAGGCTATTACTACCGTATTTTAAACTATCTAGCTTGTCCATTAAGAATATCATATTTTCTTTTTAGGAACTGTACATCTCTATCTGTGAATACACAGGCATGCATGGGTTAATCTCCTTAAGCATTGTTAAAGCTAACAGCATCTGTTCCATCCGTAAGCATCCTAATGGGTATCCTTTACAATCATAATAGAGCATATGCCTATTTTTGCATAGCCTAGATGTTTTCTTACTTCTACTATCTCTCAGCATGAAACTGGGAAGTTTAAAAGTTATCAGGAAGAGCACAACTGTTATGAAATGCCTTCTGCATATGTGCAGACTGCCAAAAGCAGTCTGATCTTGGTTCCTTTTATTCTCTCTCTAGCCTTGCCCAGACTATCAATGTCCAATCAAAACAATTCAACAGAAAAGTGCTAGATATTATTCATGATATCCAGTCAAAACAAAGACTTTTTTTTAGATATGATGACACTTGGTGTCTTTGGCTGCCAGCCATTGATTGCATCAACCATTACATCTGGTAGGAAGTTATTATCAGTCACATCTGCTCACATCTCAGTGTTATTAGAAATGCAGACATTCTCATCTCTTCTCTTATTTATGTTTGAATAGATGTTTTGCCCAGATTTAAGCTACTGCTAGGTCTCCAATAATGCATACACATGTGTTCTAATACACCCAACCTTCTGCATTCCTGTATCTTATACCCTGTATGCTATACTCTATAGCAGTGTTTCCCAAACTTTGG